CATGCACTATAATTACGAGAATCATTTTGATGACATGTTGCGGCTCTCCTACTGAGGCAGACAAACAGATGTAAACTGGCCAATCTCGCGAGCAGGTAATTACTGTGCCTGGCGTGGATCTGTCGACGTGCGTGCGCCGTATGTCCTGGATATGTTTGTCTCGCAGCACCACCTGGGGATGGGGTTAATACAGGTACTCCACATGCCGTAACCTAACAATTGACTTAATTCCCTCGGAACTAAACAGGAAACTACTGCAATACAACCTATCATTTGTCAACAAGTAATTAAGGTAAATCTACCGGTATTAAGGGACAAATGTGTGTCGCATTTAACCTACCTTTCAGAAGGTCACAGTAATTGCCTGACCGATGGAATGTTCTATTCTGATTCATTTGTAAAGTAATTTTCTTCCAAATGAACACTTTTTCCCAGTGGTGTTTCATTAATGTCATGTAAATGTCAAAGTGAAAATGGATAAACTAGAAATAGGATAAACTATTAAGAACAATTTTATGACAAGCATGAAGTCCCTGAAACTAAATAGTTACAAACAGGCAACAGTCAGCAATATGTCATGCACGCCTGTCAGGAAATAAAGATCGGAGTAAGATATGATGGTGATGATGAGGAGGAGGATGGTGATGATGACGGCGATGATGACGGCGATGATGATGATGATGGTGGTGATGGCAATGATGATGATGATGATGATTGGTGGTGATGATGATGATGCCGATGATGATGATGATGGTAGTGATGACTATGAGAAGGATGACGGCGATGACGACGGCGATGATGATGATGATGATGGCAATGATGATGATGGTGGTAATGACGACGATGATGATGAGTTTGAAGTAAACTGACCGAGTAACGAAAGTACATACCAATATTTGATGATGCCTAAAAAAATAACAAGCAACAAATGCAATATTGACAAACTTTATGAATAACAACTTCTTTTATTTCGTTTCGATACAGACTCTTGTACCGATGTCTAGCGGGAACTTAACAACGTACAAGAATCTGCATCGAAACGTCGCACTCACAAAATAAAAGAAGTCGGTATCCATAAAGTTTGTCAATGTTGTACTTCCCAACTTCTAAAAGGCAACTCAAAGAAAACAAGAAATGGTTATTCGATGGTGATGTATCTCATACGGGTGCCACTGTTTTCAGCCTATTAACGTTTTGATACCGTTTGTAACATGTTGTTCAAATCCAATTTTCAAAAGCATACTTATATTTTCCCTTCACTTTAAAGTTTAAAAGTAATGAAATAACTTTCAGGAAGATTTGATATAAGGACAATGACAGACCAAACCGGTACATGTTTGACTACTTTCAGTAAAGATTAACATAAAGATTGATAACAGCAAAAACCCGTATAGCTATATGGAATATAAAAGTTGTGGCTTTGGAAGCTTAAAAGGACTTACATAAGTTACACGAAGTACAGTTGCTTCGAAAAAAACATAAATTAAACGACCGTTCACTAGCGGGTTAGATACTAACTGAGTTAAAAAAGTGATCATCTGTCTCAAAACAGACTTAAGAAAGTCAAGAGATTTCGTTTTGTTTTGTCATTCGAGTCCGGGATTTGATATTTTCTCTGTCATAGAATATCTCATCTAAATGTCCCTTTCTTTTTGTTGCACTTTATTACACGACAATAAGACACATACTTATCTACATAAGAATATGTATTTCAAGAAATAAATTGAATACTATTTTCCTTTCCAATTAATTCTTGTCAACTTAAAAATGTTGACTTGTGCATTGCTGTGTGTGACATTGCTGATTAATGTGAAATAATCAACCTCTTTACGTAATTAATTTTTTGTGAAAGGCGAGCAAAATGGTAATCGTGTGTTTTATTAATAACAATGCTTTGTTATTTCAGATTTTTCTATTATTATCATCTAATAAGCTCTCGGGCAAAGGAAAATCCATGTTTGGTGGTTGCTAAAAATGTGTGAGTAAGTGAGTTTGGTTTTACACCGCTTTTAGCAGTATTCCAGCAATATCACGGCGGGGGACACCAGAAATTGGCTTCACACATTGTACCCATGTGCTAACAATAAAACATACAAGATATGGTTGTTTTATGAAGCTGTACTTGATACGGACATCACAGCTGCGTTTTTTACCTACTGCATGATTTAAAGCCATCAACAAGATCTAAATCATCACCTTACTCCTTACATTCACAATCACTGTTCGCTGGTGGAATAAACAAAACTCATACTGAATTTTAATTTAATGTTGAGTTTTGATGCATTTGTTAATATGGTGACTATTGATGAATTGACAATTTACGTCATATGTTTAGATCGGGGTGAGATGAAATGAACTGAATTATTGTACTTACATAGCGTGGTGTGTGTGTGTGTGTGTGTGCGCGCGCGCGAGCGAGCGCAAGGCAGTGTAACAAAAAGTGAGCTGAATGTAAAGTTCAAAGTCTGCAAGTGCATCAACACATCATCCTATTGGCGGCTGAATTTCTGCAAGGAAAGCTACTATTTCAGCTGACCAGTTTGGAACACAGCTATTTCTATTTATGATAACAGTCATAGAATATTTACAAGTCACGCGAGTGTTTCAGTGAGAGGAACCACAAAGCGTTTTACGTGATACTTCAGCAAAGTTGCTATTTTGTTTTATTTACCACTTCTGAATAAATATTTCACAGCAAACATACACAGAAATGTGAAACTAATTACTAAAAAAGCAACAAAAAAAACAACAAAAAAAACAACAATCATTAAAGAACAAAACTAAATTACATTTCTAACCATTGGCGTCAACTGATTATAGAAGTTGCTAAAACAATTAACGTTTAATTTATTTCATCCTGCTTTAAAACAATACAACTAATCACACGCTGACATATATAACATCAGGAGATATAGATCAGTGATCTCTGATAGAGCCTGGGGGGTACACTACCATCTGTCCGTACCCTTCTGTCTCTTGATGCTTACAGCTATGTCCCCGAAACTGATTTGTTGGCACAGATAGCACCCCTGGCAACTTTACAGGCCGTTGTTGAATGTTGCAAAAATAAAACTAATTAGCGAATATATAATACTGAATGGAGGTATGTTATCAGTATTTGTAGACGGAAATTAGAATGTATTGTAAACTTACGCTTTTGATTTAAGATAATGTGTTCACCTGATGGAAGCTTCTTTTTCTTTGCTGACAATGAGTGTTTAGCAAGCAATTCCTATCTTGTTCTTGCCAGGTGAGCTAAGATGATGACAAAGACAGTTTCTGCTTTATTCCTGCTTCTCCTTCTTGTCCTTCTGTATTTTTCCTTTTGTCTTTACTTTCGTCAAATGCCTGCTTTAAATTATCCCTTGTCTTGAACACTTTGCGGATCACAGCCCTGTCCACCTGACACCCCCTCCCCCGACCCCACCTGCTTCCCTCCATCACCCCCATAGCCACTTTGAACACTCATGTACCTCACCCTGTTTTAAAACTAACAACATAAATACTTGAATTTATAACTCCAAATAAGTCACTGACATACGTTTCATACATGTAAATAAAATAAATGTGAAACATTTCTAATTTCCTAATCACTCTCCTGCATCCAAATATTCACTGTCTTTGCCAGGTGAGCTAAATGGTCGTTATACGAGTTTACGTACATGACCAACTCATGCATTTAAAACTTCATAGTAAACGTCAAGTTATTACAGCTCCACATATGCGCTGTAAAACAATACTAAAGAACTGACCGTATTAAAAAATACTTTGTATAATATTGCATGACTTTGATATAATGCAATCAAACCTGTGGCTCCATCACTTTCGGCACACAGTGAATGAACATAATTCTGTCAGCATGAACGCTAGTTCAGAATGTGATTTTATAAATAGGCACGGGTAGTCTCATCAATCGACAATTCCTTTTTTCAAAATACTTGTCCTGTGTCCATCGCTGAGGTCAGAAAATGAAAAAAGTCCCATCAACGCATGTGAGTACGGTTGTTGGAGAGTACAGTTTGCACTATTTCAGTAATATCAGGGCTGACCAAAGGGAACTTATGTCATATCCATGATTGTTTAACTCGACAACCCTTCTTTTAACAGATAATTGAACAAAAGTAAATGCTTTCATTTATTTTGCCATTTTGACCACTTTCGCTATGGTTTTGAAAAGAATACGCATAAAAACTAAACTTTCAGTAATAACGGTTTATATTTATCACAAGTTCATAAGTTCACATATTAAAAATCTGTCACTCACAACTTTTTATCTAAAAAGACAATATTAATATTTGAGTCCATAAAAAGTGTAAAAACACCATCCCAAAAAGTAATGAAATTGATTGCCTCGGGAGCTGTTCTACAAATCCCGCCAAGTTTCTCACTATGTGCTGTTAATCGCACTGTTCTCAAGTTGTCAGACAGTTTTGTGGTATGGATTTCTAAAGCTCATTTATGACTTGCTCTAAAGCTAGTCGTTATTTTTCTCTCTTGTTCCGATACAAATAATTCGATATTAACCGTCTACTGATTGATATTTAGATCTGACGTGGGACATTTTTGACGCTCGGCCACCCAGGCTCAAATTTGCCTGACTATGAATATTGGTTATAATTAATGCCAATTTTCGAATGATATGTACAGACTTTATCAATATTGTCTAGTTATTCCGTGGCAGAAGTATCGCTGTTCTCACGGGGGAGGTGTTCTAGGATCATGTTGCCTCCCAGAAGGCACCGGGGAGCGCCCATTGTGCAGGTTTGTTTGCAGCCTCGGGGAGAAGCAATTATCTGCGATTGACAGGTATTATGATACGAGTTTTAAAAGGAGCGTTGGCGCATCAGATCAAGAGACCGTGAAGAAGTCAGAATTGAGAGGTGCATCACGGGATACTATTGTTCCGGTCATTAGGAGGCTTCGTATGAGAAGATAAGAGCAGTCTCAGACTGATTCCCCCTCAGAACACTGCTAGAGGTCCCACAGAACACATCTTGATCATGTCTTCTGCTAAGGTTGTTGCTCAGTCGGTCGACAGGTTCGAATCCAGTGAGGATAGATCTGGTGATCTCTCTGACTCGATAGACGTGGAGTTTGATGATACAGATATGAAACCGGAAAAGACTGACAGATCGGTGTACGATCAGAATATTACTTTGGAGATGTTGGAAGCGAGGGCGGAGGATTTGACGTCAAGGATGTCGAATAGTGTAAACAGTTCGAAGTCACGTGTTCCTGAGGAACTCCGTCTCCGTATCAACAGCCGGGAACGTGAGCGGATGCACGACCTCAACTCCGCTTTAGACAGTCTGCGTCAAGTGATGCCTTACTCACATGGCCCCACGGTGAAGAAGTTGTCGAAGATGTCGACGTTGTTGCTTGCGAGGAACTACATCGTGATGCTGACGCGTTCACTGGAAGAGATGAGAAAACTCGTTCAAGACCTGTCTCTGCAGAGAAGTACCCCAGCCCTCGGGATTCCACCTCACTTCACCCCCACGGTGGACCCTGCCCGGCACGTGTTACCATCGCCCTACCACCACCCACACCTCACCCTGCCTACAGCAGCCTTCCAGGCCACGGGAGCCCCAGGATTCCCCTGTGCGTGTCCCGAGTGTCAAGTGAAGCCTCACCCCCATCAACAGCCCCATCGTCAGACCAAGGAGGGCTGGAAGTCGTGAGACTGGAGTACGTTCATTTGACAATATTTCAATCTGACTCAGATGTCCTAAAGTGATGACGTTAACAGCCCCAATGGACGTTATTTACGACCTGTGCAGGAGCACCTCTCGCGTCGTTCAGAGTACCTTGTGCTGTTCGATGAGCCACTTATGTCGTAGACGCCGACGTTCACGTCACGTAATGAACACTATAAACTGTATAAGTTTCAAACTAGTGTCCAGATCGACCACCTCTTCATGACGTTAAAGAGGAAATGTATTCCATGATGTTCTGCCCTTTGTGAATGTATATATTGGTATGTATTTTGTGCCTGATTGTTAAATTTTATTGTTATTTGATACTGTCCTGAATAAACAGTATGTTTGTTAAATCCGTACTTTTTATATTTCTTCTTTATCGATCATAGTGGAAATGTTATTCCAATTCCATGACTATCGACTCCGTGTTGATCGTCATCATTCGGACGAATACAGGACTTGCACGAGAGACAACAAATATGTTCATTTATGTGGAAACGTGGTTATTCTGATTGAAAGGATATTTGTGTGACCTAGTGGTGGTCCGATTAATTGAAATAATCGAAGATTGGTCGCAGTATCTAAACGACCAAGCAATCATGTTTTCTCATAATCGAACACAAACAATTCTGGAACACTTGTTTTCATAAACAATATTTTTCACAAGGTCGGTTTGTCTGTTACATTTCATAAGCACTACAAGCTCGTTTCAAGTCATGATTGAATTTATCTTAAAGACTCCAAGAAATTTATGTTCCTGACATACTAGTAATCCTTTAAAGATGTGAAATTTTGCCCAAAAACCCAAAAGAACTACATGTTTTTCCCCTGATTTTTGTGTGCATTAACAAATTTCATTAATGACGCTAACCATTTTTTTTCGATGATTGATCGGTTGTAATAAACCAATCATCAATTATGAGATTTTAACCAATTCCCAACACTAGTGTGACCAAACTTGCTGATCCAGCCGAGTGTAGGATTCTTGAGAGGCATATAGAAGTTGGTGAATGTGTAAGACGAGTATATGGATGGCAACTTATTGCGTAACACGACGTGTCTGGGCTACTTCTTCGGGTGATTAAAGACAGGTGTAGAAAACATATTATATATACCAGTTTACAGGAAGCCAGAGATGTACATCTAAATACAATCAATCAATTATAAAAACAATGATAACTGGGATATGGTAAAGCCAGTTGACACAATCAATTAGGATCGTGTAAATCTGGTATATATAATATGTTTTCTGCACCTGTCACCTGTCACCTGAAGGAGGGACAAGATGTAGCCCAGAAACGTCGTGTTATACAGTAAAGAAGGTGCAGTTCTCCATATACTCGTCTGATCCAGTCGAGTGTACTTTCCCTTTTAGCTTTAAAGTTGATAAGTTTTGTTGAATGCACCACACGGATTAAAAGAACAATTTTTATTTCGCAAGGCATTGAAACACACTTGACTTGTTATTTATAAATGTCGTTAATATTTTTTTGACATTTTCCATAACCCTGTCGACTCACAATTAATATCATTTATGAAATTGTGACCTTTCAAGAAGAAGGCCATTCAAGCAGCGCATTACTCTTCTTAATTCATTTCAGTATAAACAATACTTATTCTAAAGATAGATAGATAATGAATTTGTTTTCAATTTTGTTTTTATTTAGACTCTGATCTTATGTCTTTATCATACTAATAAATTACATAAATCTGTGGGATTCCCTTTTAGTTGTGTTGCAGCTCCCACGCGCGAAACAATACAACAATAACGTACTTGACATACGTACGAACGCGTCATGAACATTTGGGACAGATGATACAGTGTCCCTCTGGGTCCTAGTTGTTTGGGCTTGTACGATAAGGTAGTTGTCTTACCTGGGTTCTCCACGGGGAAAGAAACGACTAGGAAAATGACTGAACCAGTGTACATGCAATAAATGAGACACAATAATATGCTAAAACGATAACATATAACACAAAATGTTTTGGTGGAACATTTAACGAAAATAAGATGTCGGGAGAAAGAAAGTTTACACTTTAAGATACAAATTATATTAAGAACTTATGAAAAACGTCTCTAGAAATAAATCAGTCGTCAAAACTGTTGTAGCCGTCTTCAAATACGGCTGTGTTTTGCCCGGCAAAAGATTTGATGGGTGGTGCAAGGGAAACTGCCAAATCTGCCTGAACTTGTATGTGAAAGTCAATGTCAATTCTGATCAAACACCATTACACAAATATGTGAGACGATCACACTCCATTCATTTTATTGATATCATATATATTCTTTAATTTTGTGATAACAACGTTCATGTGAATGGAAAAGGTATACGTTTTCGCTAGAAACTGTGTCAGTATCATCCATTGCCTCATACCCAGTCCGAAATTTATTCAATTTTTTAGAATTATTATTAGTGAGTGTAAGAGTTGAGTTTTACGCCGCTTATAGAAATATTCAAGTAATATCACGACGGGGGACACCAGAAATGGGCTTCTCACATTGTACCCATGTAGGGAATCGAACCTGGGTCTTCGGCGTGACGAGCGAATGCTTCAACCACTAGGCTACCCCACCACCGGTACAATTATTAATTAAGAACGTTTTACTGCAGACAGTGATGCTAAAGAAAGGTCAAAACCCGGAAACACTGACGACAAAAATGAAAATCAAACTCGATATACAATGTACAATTTACAATGATCAATTTAGGGTTATATATTGCAGACTTACACTGTCTAAACAGCTCCAACAACAGCTAAAACAACCGCTACAGTATGAGTACGAATGGTAACCATTCTTATGGTGTTTGCTTGTTGTGAAAATTACAAACAATTATCGTGGTTTTCTACATAACCAGTGATGGAGACACACACACACACACACACACACACACACACACACACACACCAACATTGATAATCAGCACTTGATGGCGTAATCTCAGATGCTGTCTGGACAGACATTCACGCGTATTCTCACAATCACTCTCCCCTCTCTCTCACACACATACATACACAGACACACAGACAGACAGATGAACAGTAAATATCAGACGTGCATACAGTTTTTGTATACAGTTTAAATTAATGTTGAACTTAATGGATTGTCAGTAGATCCTTAATTATCCTTAAGTCCATCATGCAAAATACACATAAACAAACACCTTTCTGTTATGAGGGTCAGGGATATATTTATGGTAACATACGGAATGCGAAATTGATTATCAGCTGAGGTGGTCTGTTAATGTCCCATGGCAGTCGATACGTACCTGATCATCTGCATTAAACTGAACAGCATCACGTAATATGATTTGGTACTTGCGACAATCTGGAGGAACATATAGACTGTGTTCCTGTCCAAACTTTCAGGTTTCTTAAATAATACTCAAAAGGAGACCACTTTCGAGTGTAAACATTTGCAAAATTTACAAATTTTGCAAATCTACATACCTTATTCACTGGAACCGACTTAATGCTGCCGTAATACTCAACCCTTTGTTCTCTATGACAGAAAGGACGTATGTATAAACAAACAACAACTTGTAATGATGATGCGATAAAAAGACGTCTTCAAACGGTACATTGACACAGTAAAGTATTTTGAAGTGTTTTTGCAAAGAGTTTCAACGACAAAGTTATCAATTTCAGTTTTGTCTTTTCTTCCTGTGAATATGACACATGTTTATGTTTTTGCCTTCAAACGAATTCCTCGCATGAATTACAAGTAATTGCAAAACGATTTTATCAAACCAAATAGCATTAAATAAAAGACAAGTATTCAGATTTCTTGTAACATTAATGGCCATAGCTTAAGGCTGAAGCGCCATCTGTCGGGAGAGATGAAGACACGAAACATGGCCGGCAGATACTATCTCTGTCAGAACACACAGAGGACATTAATCCGAGGACTTCACTCTTGTCCTCGCTGCGCCGGGAGGGGTGCTCCAATTCTAGATACACATGTCTAACGCTAGTGGATGTTAATTTAACAGTGCTAACAAAAGGCAGAAGCGCATGTTCATTAAAAATGACAAAGGGAGTAACAATAGCCCGAGATGTAGACTTGTAGGGATGACTTGTTAGTACAATAGACACAGATGAAGATCTGCTGCTGGATATATTAACCCCATCCCTGCTGAAGGCGAGATGCAACGACAACAGTCATGATTACGTATTACTATACTCTCGTTACGTCAGCTATGCACTGGTTGAATTGGCGGTCTTTAGAAAATCAGGTTTCGATTATAATAAAAGGGATTCTTTCTCTGAAAATGCAATTTCACGCTAGGTATGGTAAACGTTATCACTGTAGATTTGCATCCCCTGACAATCAGCTGTAGTTTGATCATAACAGCATGGTTATATTTCTGTAAACCTGGAAAATGCTACATACAACGTCTTTCCATTTTCACTTTCATCGCTTCATTTAAGAGACATTTCTGCATATAACATTGACCTCATTTCATACCTCAAATACTGCTGAATGAACAGCGACTGAATATTTTGCGTTCACTATGGTTACAACTACTGATGCTGAATGCTGATGCAAGGAAGATGAAGCAGCTGAGTAAGTTAATATAGTTTTACGCCGTTTTCAGCAATATTTCAGGAATATTAATAGTACGGGGGGGACACCAGGAATGTGCTTCACACATTGTACCCAAATAGGGAATCGACCCTAGATAGTAGGCATGATTAGTGCTTTAATCACTAGGCTATCCCTCCATCCCTGAAGCCACTGAGGAATTGCCAATGTCTACACTCCTGGAACATTTACAAACTAAATACATTCTTATGGATATCGAGGTTATGTTTCAGAAGATGTGTCTTACTTTGCTCAGTGTGCTTAAAGAAAACGCTAATAGCTGACCTTTCATACTTGCTCATTTTTAGCTAATAAACTTTTCAAGCCATGTAAACGTATGGAATGATTTGTTTGCAGTCTACATTATTTTTTGTGTGTTGGTTGGTTGACGCCGCAC